AGAGAGAGAGAGAGAGAGAGAGAGAGAGAGAGAGAGAGAGAGAGAGAGAGAGAGAGAGCATCCGTCGAGTCAGTGTCTAACGAGAATGACAAATTGGACAAAATAATGATTACGTCTGCTCAAAATTTGTGCTGCCAACCCCCTCCCCCACCCCCCCCCGGCATCATCGCTGCCAAGGCTTTGGCGGAGGAGCCCCGTGAACACGGCTGTGAGACAGTCCCTCAATTCGTTCCCCAACTCAATAGCACATGCTGCGTCTTTCTTCGGGGGGGGCGGACAAGGTGCATGCCGCGTTTGCGGACGTGGACACCCTCGCTGACGTCGGCTTTGCACATCACAACCATCACTATCACTGTCGCCGGATAGCAGTTCAGGATCCACCTGCACCCTGTGTTGCACAATCAGGTTGTGAAGTATGCAAATGGCCATGAACTCTTTGCGAAGGGTTTTCATATTTCCAATCTGTGTCCTGATGAAGTTCCTCCACACGACCTTCAATCTTCCGAAAGTGCGTTCGATGCACCACTTTGCAGAGGTGTGACAATCATCGTACACCTGTTCATCCGCGTTCCTGCAGTTGCCCCCAACTGGAGTCATAATCAACGGCAACTGCGGGTAGCCGGTGTCGCGGAGCAAGTACCTGCCAATCGTACGGCCACCACGCAGCACGAAAACACTCTGAATTCGGCACTCGTGGTCGCAGACCGCCTGTGCCACGACAGAGAATTGGCCGGTGCGATCATAGAAACACTCCCCCCTCTGACCTGCAGGCTTCTCGATGTACACATGGGTGCAGTCTATGGCTCCCACGCACCCCGGGAAACCTTTGCGTTCGAAAGCGTCCAGCGTATCTTGCAGCTTCTGCCCAGTTGGGAATTGGAGCAGATGGCCATACTCCCTGATCACCGCATCGGCGACATCGATGTTGCTCCGCAGCGCGCTCGCCAAGCCAAGCCCCAAACCATGCGCCAACTGCCTGTAGTAACCTCCCGTCGCCCCCCTGATGAGAGCGCATGCAAACTTCTGTGCCGCCGGCACTGGCTGTCTCCAGTTCGTCATCTGACGCTGGATATGTGGCGCTATGCGAGCCAAAATTTCATTGAACAGCGGCCGAGGAAGTCTGCAGAACTGCTGGAAGACCTTCTCGTGCCTGCCTCCCTCTCTTTGGAGGTCCTTCCACACCCCCCCAGTGCGTTCCAACTCCCACACGTGTCTTCGACCATCCACACGACGGATGAACACGCTGCCCAACACGCCCGCAAGTGACATGCTGTGCATCACCGCACCCGTGAGATGCAACAGGGTGGAAGACAACCCCAACAGACAAGTCGGCATCGCAGCTGCTGCCTGCCGGACAGCCATCGCCGCCGCGTTCCTTCGGTTCATGCACTGCAGAAGGACGAAAACCATCAGGAACATGGTATCGTCCCAATCATCCATCAGGTCTGATGTCGCACCACGCTCCATGCAACGAGGCTTGCACACACCACGCGTGTGGACGTACGGGCACGTCTGCTCAGCTGAGGTGATGGGGACAGGACGAGATAGTGATGGACGAGGCAGACGACACTGGTTATGGTGGCGAGAGCTTTCACTCAAGCAGAAACGCAGTGGCTCGCATACATAACGAGCACCTACAGAATGGGGAGGCCTGCGGCAATGATTGACGGTAGTGTCTGTGGAACGGTCCAGCGCCACGGGGATGGTGGGTCCCCTTCGGCCCTCTCACCACCGGGAGGTCGCACTGCCTCTTGCACACGCCGCCCTGCGTCACCAACATGAGGTGGCACAGTCATTCCTTGGGTCAACTCACGCCTTCCGGACATTCGGCCAGTTTCCTTTTTGGGATGCTGAACGGTCACCTTTCCTATTACGGAATATCACTTGCGCACTTTGCCACAAAACACAGTCCGCTATGGGGTCCCGGCAAAACAGTTTCCAACCTTTCCAAAATCGTTCGGCTGCTTTTTATGGCCAGACGTCTTTTCCATCGTTTTTCCTGTGGGGTCCAACTCTAAGTGAGTAACCCATAACTGCTGAAACACGGACCTGAATTTGAAGCTACACTATATACACCTGGCCTGCGCCCTCCTTACTACAAGCCCAGTGAAAGGGCTCTCTCTCTCTCTCTCTCTCTCTCTCTCTCTCTCTCTCTCTCTCTCTCTCTCTCTCTCTCTCTCTCTC